AATTTTCCAGGATTTATTTTCTAGGAAAGCATAGTTCTTCCCCTTATACACTGACGATTCTTTCCAATGTTTATGCCAGCTATTATACAATAATTTTTTTGAAGCTTTGAAAAATTCTGAGGAAGGGATTTCATATTTTTCTTTGTTTTTGTTTGCTGCTTCTTTGGCTATAGCATCTGCCCTTTCATTTCCAGTAATCCCTGAGTGACCAGGGATCCAACATAGAGCCCCTTTTCCCCCATAATCTTTAATATCATTGTATAACTGGTTAATACTTAAAGAAATGTTGTTAGATTTTCCGTTCCATGGATTATTGTAAAAACAATAACTATTAACTCCAGGGCCGGATTTACGAATTTGCCGCCCATGGGCCCAACGCATAACGAATGACTCAGCGAATAAGCTAGAGTCGCGCCCCACTCGCCTCGTGTACATCGACTGCCGCCCTTCTACGCAGTGACGCACTACGCAGAATAATAGTGTAGTCTGATATAAAATTATCTAATGTATTAGGGGGGGTAAGGTCAAATCATACGAAAAAAGCCATGTTTTCGTGATTTTTTTCTGACGACGCAGTTAAAATTTCTTTACTCAACCAATGGTACATTGAAGAATGTTTCATCAAATTTGTACAAAGAAATATTAAAAAATACGGCAATGGCAGCAATTGTTCGGACGTGTCTCGAAAAAAAGTTGAATTGCGGTGCCCCTCATAACTTGGTGCTGGATCATCTGAAATCAAAAAACCAAAGTTCATTCGTTAGATAATAGTTTTCCCCAGGTAACGCTGTCGAGTTTTTTTTCCAATTTTTTTCATTTTTTCGAACACTGAAGTGAAAAACACAATTTTGTGGGAAAAAATCGGCTAATTTGTTATTGCGAAATCAAAATTATGAACAAAAAAAAAAAACTCGACAGCGTTACCTCGTAAATGATGTACAGAAATAGTGTTTAAAACTATAAAGCGTTTTTTCCACAACTCACGTTTTCAAAGTCGGTGCCCCTGATAACTCCAAAACTACTGCACCGATTCTTTTGAAATTTTCCATCCAGAAAACGGCATTTTGGTAGATTCCAACATAGATAAAGCTGAAGCATTCGCCCGTTTCTTTGGAGGAATATACGAAGAATCACGGGACCCTTCATATGACCTGGAGACATATAATATGGTTGACACATGGTTTGCCAACTTTACAACAGAACCTAATGAGACTCTCCAACTTAATTTGGACAACCTGGATGAATTGTATTTTGACATTGTATTTACCGGCAAAAACACAGCACCAGGGCACGACCTTATTACTAAAAACAATATTAGAAAACTGGACCTTGAAATTCACAAATACATAATTAAAATTTACAGATACTGTTTTGTTAACAACTTCTTTCCAATCGAGTGGAAAATGGGCCCCATTATCACAATTTCCAAAGCAAACACGGACCATTCTCAAATAAAAAATCACCGGCCTATAACTCTTTTGCCAGTAATAGGGAAAAATTTTGAAAAAATATTCAAGCATTTACTACAAAACGAGGTTGGTAACAAAATTCCCCGGTACCAGTTCGGATTTAAGGAGGGCTGTTCTACCATCCACGTTCTAACCATACTGAAAAACAACATTGAAACAGCCAAACTGAATGGAGAAAAATCGGCAGCACTGTTTCTGGACATAAGTAAGGCATTTGATTCCATTTGGATAAAGGGTCTATTGTTTAAACTCTTCCACATGAACTGCACAAAACATTTTATTTCACTTTTATTCAAAATATTAAACAATAGAACCCTCAAAGTCAAGGTCGGAAACTCCTACTCAAAAACATTCGTCACCGAGCAAGGCCTACCACAAGGTTCTCCCCTTTCGCCTTTGCTTTACAATATATTTTGCTATGATATATATAGCCACCAATTCCCAAATGAAAACCACTTTAGTTTCGAATCATACACTCTTCAATTTGCCGATGACACGGTATTAATCTCCCACAAAAAATCCATACCCCAAGTTATGATGAGCCTGCAAAACCTAGTTAACTCGACATCAGAATGGTTTTTAAAATGGAGACTTACACCAAATCCTAGCAAATCTCATTTTTAATCTTCCACCACCGTATAACCGACCAGTCTCCATCCATTTCTCTGCAAGGCCATACAATTCACCCAGAAAAATCCACCAATTACCTGGGCATACTATTAGACCATAAAATAAATCTGAAACTGTACACCCAACTAAAAAAAAAGAAAACAATAGCCAGGGCAAAACACTTTTCTGGTTTAAGGATTAACAACTATGGATTAAGCATCACAAACCTTATCAGAATTTACAAACTGATCTGTAGACCCATTATCGAATATGGTTTTCCCCTATTTCTCAATGCCAAAACTCCCACCTTAAAAAACCTACAAGTAGCTGAAACATCATCACTAAGGAAAATTTAAAAGATCCGACATCCCAACAATCCGCTACATAACCCTCCCAATCCTTTGTTATACCAAAGAACAGGAATAATTCCAATAACGGAGAGAATTCGGATCTTGGCAGCCAAATACAGGAATATGGAATTTTGCATGACAAGATTGGAAAATGCCAGGCCCAGACATCCATCAAAAACAACCATTGAGATAATTCTCAATGATAATATAAACTAGTTACATATGTATATATATATAGTCAAAGTCAATGGCCTTTTGAAAAATGTATTTTTTTCAATAAAGAACATTTATTATTATTATTAAAAGACTGTATAATATGGTATTTAAAAATGTGGTAGTTTTTCTTATCCAGCTTAAAGTGTACCTACATAAAGTTTTGTCAATACAAATAGTTAAAAAGCTTCGACTGAATTTGATCTACATCAAAAAATCATTATAACTTTAAAAATTTTAATAAATCACATATGGGAGTATTAAATATTTTGCAAGTTTCTCTAAAAATTGTTTGTTTTCTTATAATCTAACTTAAAGTAAGTATGCCGAGAGGTATGCACAAGTTTTGTCGTTAGAAGTATAAAAGCTTCAATTTAATTTGAACTATATTCAACAATTATTTAGTATACCTATATTTATTTATTTTAATATTAACACACTCTTTCAAATAATCCACTTATTTATTTTGGTCAAAATAGATTTTTTTAACCTTAAAATACAAAATTAGATGATATTTTTTGTTCTTATACATTAACCTACCTTTGATATAGATATTCTTATTTCATAATAGAGAAGTTAGATTTTTTTTAATAAATGCAGTTTAGTTAAAACTATTTTATGGAGAATGCAAAAATATCACTTATTTGGCACCATACACTTTAGAATTTCATTAAATGCAGTATTTATATTCCTTAATTCTTAAACCAACCATTGTTATTGTGATACTATAAAGATTTATGAACTTAAGTTAAAATATTTTAACTCTTTTAACATAAGCGGTAACACTATAAATATTATTTCTTTCATTGACTATACTTTGATAGATACATAACCTGAAAAGCCTTAAATGCCAAATTTTCAAAAGACTCCGTACGTGGTCACGTGGTGGGACTTTAAGGTGTGGAGCATAGTACATTAAGGCTAGTATATTCTTTTTATATGGTATATTTACCTACCTTTAAATTTATTAGACAGCTAACTGTTAAAGTTACAATTGTTGACATAATTGTAACTATGACAATTAATCATTAGGTAAATTTAGTAAAGTGAATATACTGACACTTAATTTCTTTTTGTCGCCAAATCAATCCGTTAAACGTCATTAAAAAACGGATGAATGAAAATTAGAACATTTCTTATCGGACGATTTTATTGAAAAACGGACAAACGGATACATGACAATTAAGCACAATTGTGCTTAATTTAAATTACGTGTCAGCGGCGCTGATATCCATTTTGTACTGACGTCTGCTGTTTCGGTACTGTTTCGGTACAAACCAAACAACACCAAAGCCCCCTTCCCAGATAGCACAAAGGTATACTATGGACGTCCAATGGACGTATGCTCGTGGACGTCTGTATGTACATAGGATGTCCATTTTTTTCTATGGACGTCCCATGGACATCCGTTTAGAGTCCAGATGTCACAACTTTGGACATCCATAAGTCGTCCACCGATGGACGTCTATAAGGTGTTTGAACCATTCCTCCAGCATCCAGGACCTGCTTTTTTGCTTACTTTAACTGTTTTTTGCGACTGTATTTTCATTGCGATGTTGCAGAAAATTTTCTACAACATGACTGAAATGCCTTTTGTCTGCCTCAGTAACAATCTCACTAGGAATATAAGTATTCTAAAAGTTGTTAAAAGTTACAACATTCAATGTTGAACATTGCAGGAAATCCTTGTATTCGACTCAGGAACATTACATTTGCAATACTACAAGTGTTTAACATTTCATTGATAGCTTCCTTTATAGCACGCGCTTGCTTGAATGTCAGTGAGATTGATCATAACTGTTGTTATGCAGCCAACAATACGTTTTAACTTGCATTTCTGTAATAATAATTATGGACGTAAAATGGACACTATATGGACGTCCATTAAAATCGTACAAAAGATGTAAATATATGGACGTACATATTACATCCATTTTTAGTCCGTGGACCAATGTACTTAAAATGGATCTTAAACGGACGTCCATTGGACGAATGGTGCTATCTGGGTTATTAAGGGAAAACGAGAGAAAAAAGCCAATCCTTATGCATAATCTTTGCAGTATTTCATATGGATTTAACAGAAGATTCATTATAGTCTTTGCCATAGCCCTTTTTTATGTTAAACACGTAATCCTCAAGTATTTTTGCCAGTTGAATCACGGGAGAACATTTATGAAGCTTGTAATTCCGTACCTTCAAAAACTGCTCCCAAATGGAGTTTTTCTAATTTCACTCTTGAAAAAGAATAAATAGTTAGAGAAGAAGAAGACATAATTTTATCTTCTTGATAGAACCTTCTTTTTTAATTTTGTTCGAAATTGTATGCCCTAATATGAGTTAATAAATATGTAAATTTTAGGTAAAAATGATGGATGGACAGGAAGATTATAGTAGTTATTATCAGAAAAATTCCCCAAAACAAAATGGTGGTAGTATTCATTCTGATATAGGTGATATGAGTTTTATGATGTTGGACTATATTAAAGAAGCCATGAAGGTAAGTTTACAGACAGTGTACTTATCTAAAACTTATATAAAACTTAGCTACACTGAAAAAAATTTACGAAATTTTACACATCCAAACACACATTTATTTCTGTTTTTTTACTTAAGAAATGTGTTGTTCCATATAAAACATGTACACACATACTTACATAAGTAAAATAGCATTTTTACACATTATATGTAGTTTTACAGTATGTTTGTACATATACATTTAAATACGTGGCATCAAAATAACCAACGATCAGATGTGTAAATTTACTAAATATTTTTTTGAGTGTAAATTGTAAAAAGCGCTGGACATAATATGTGACAAGGAAGTTCATGACAAGAACAGATAAAAATAGTCCAGCACTTGATACTTTAACCGCCACTCTGCCCCGAAACCACCCCTGTGGAAATGTTTCTCTAAAAAAGTTTTAATAAGGTTTTGAAAGTCTTACTTTCTCTTAAAAACTCAGAATAAGACTTAGGTCTTAAAATTGGTAAGTCAGACTAATTGAGGGGCTCGGTGCAAGAACCGGGTATCTCCATATTTTTGCTAAATTGAGTTAGGTATATAAATATACACCCTTCAGAAGTCCGCATCGTTCGGTGCACAAACCCTGTAGATCCAGGTTAGCGTTAACTAAAGGCCGTATTACAGCCGGCAATTCTTTCGGCAATTGCAATGAAAATTGCCGTAGGCATGCGCGGTAGATACATTTCGACGAATCTCTTGCAATTGCCGAAAATCGGTCCGGATGGATTTTTATTGCCGTTTTACGGCAATTCTGGGGTGAAATCTGGTAACTTTTATGTTACCAACCCTACTACAAATTCCCTAGAGAGACGCTGTTTGACTTAAACAGTTTAAGGTTATTTGTTTTATGATTTGCATTGTGTTCAAAGTTCTAGTATCCATTTCACTCATTAATTTTTAAATATCTCCACTAAATAACAAATAAACTTAGTGTTTACAAAATCGTATATTTTTCTTTGGTTGGTAGCACGGTAATAAACAGCAAGTTGTCTTGCCATTGCTGACTGTAAAACAACATGCAATAAGGCCTTGAAAACTTGATGGCAAGAATAATTTCTGCAAGAAAAATTGGCAAGAATAATTTCTGCAAGAAAAATTGCTGCAAGAGGAATTGCCGGCTGTAATACGGCCTTAAATGTATCAGATACAGGAGATGCCGCAGAAATTATACTTGAACATAATAATAAATGTTTTTTCCAAAATTTCTTTTTTCTTAGGGGCTGTCCATAAATGATGTCACACTTTTTTTAAATATTTTTGACCCCCCTCCCCCTATTGTCACAAATTATAGTATCCCCCTCCCCCACTGTCGTCACATCACACTGATTTTATTTTTAAGTTAGGTCTATCCTTTATTAAATACCTACTTTGAATAAAAATACAAAAAAGAAAGATTAGAATATTTTTTTAATTTACTCTTTGTGACGTCACAACCTGTACTTATTTTTTTGTAATTACTGGGCAAGAACGAGGTATCTCCATAGTAACTATTACGATTACTAATAGTAACTGATTTTATAATAAACCGAAAATCTGGTAATTTAATGTCAATTGGTCTATTATAGTACCCATAAAAAAATAAAAATTAATGACATTATATAAAATAATTTTTAACAAGGTTTTTCTTGTCTCCTGAACATTTTCCGAATATGGAGATACCCGGTCCTTGCACTGAGCCCCTCAATTGCAAGATTTGGAAGTCTTCTGGAAGAGTTATTCTGATTTAATAAAACGTTCAGCAGAAAAGTGGTATAGCGATAAAAATAAATATTCGGAATTCATCAGAGATGTTGTATGTGGTTATTATAAAAGAAAACACAAAGAAAAGTATTTATAAGGCTTATAACAACACAGAAGCAATGTTTAAAATATAGCTAAGCCAAGATTATATTAGTTCATCACAATAAAACAGTTCAGACGTTTTTAAGAGAAAGTAGGACTTTTAAAACTTATTTTTACTTATTAAATCTTTTTCAGAGAAAAATTTTTACAAGGGCATTTTTTTTGTTTCGAGCTATAGCTGGTCACATATGGATCATTTGAAACCTATTCGATTTTGTTTATTTCTACCAACTATAATGGCCGCGCTAAGAAACTGACTTTTATATTGACCAAAAACGTATTGTTAATTTTTATAGGTATACCGCATTTTCATTTGAAACATACACTCGAGTGAACCCGAGTGAATCCGATCGCCCCTCCCCAGATGCCCCTTCCCAGATGCATTGTAAGCAGATTGCCGGCGTAGGCGACGATTCAGTGTTGTTTTGCATTTTCTAGTGTGTATTTCGAGCGTTTTAACATAAATTAATTTCTTTTATTTAAAATTGTGAGTTATAATGTCCTACAAATTGCAAGAGAAAATTGATATGATAAGCTGGTCTTTAGTGGGCAATTCTCTACGTCAATCAAGAAACCTATTCGCAGTTACGTTCTATTCCTTTAATCAGAACAATAAGAAACGTTACCAAAGGTTTAAATTAATTAATTAATTAATTTATTTACATTTATTTTAAGAAGTTTGATTTTTTGTTTTGTTTTAGGAGAATTAATTAATTTATTTTAATTTGTTTTCAAGAGAATCATTTTAATTTAGTTTTTAAAGAAGATTTTTATGTTTAAACGTTTTTTTTTTAAGAAAAGACTTTTAGTTAAAACAAAACAAATAATGATTTTACACCTTTATTTAATAATAAAACCGAATGCAGACTGTCTACATGTAAAATGAAAATGCGGTATGTACTATCCTCCTCACCAAAAACGTCAACTTTGAAATTTGAATGCGCAACGCAGCCTTACATATTAACGACGCGTCGCGACGTACCAAATATAAAGCTCCACAAAAAATATATTTTTTTTAAATTTCGATTAAACCCTAGATTATTACATTTTAAAATAATATACATTGGCCAATTTGATTAATTTAAAAAAAAATTGTTTATAACTAATAATATATTATTACATTTTAAAAGATTTAGTGGTCTAATTTGTTTAATTTTTACGAACATAAAATGTAAAATAACCAGTTGTATTAATACTATTACTATTTACTTGGCTATAATAGCGTATTAAATAAATAACTAAACACATAAAAAACACTAGCATGTTCTTATTCTTATTCTTATTGGCATAAATTTAAGAAAAGATTGAGCAAGTAAAAATAAGACGAAAATTTAATAAATAAATATATTTCCTAATTACTTATGTTTCCAAGATACAGGGTGATAAAGTTATCAGTTTTTTTAATATAACTTTTACTATGGTAGTCTTGGAAAGGTGATATTTTGCGAACAGTCAATTACTACCAAAACACATATTTACACATAATTTCAATTGTTTGACTGAACACAGTGTCGTAGAACCGGGGGTTGCTTTAAGCTTATTGCCCATACAAACTTTGAGGTTAGGTTTTTGTAACATTTGATGCAATTTTTCGATTACACAGTTCGGCTACCATTACCCTGTCGAAAATAAAGCGTGCACGAAAAGTGTGCAAAAGTGCGCATAGACGCTATTTTGTGGTAATATCACACTTTTTGAAATAATTTAGTTTTTTCACTCTTTATGCACATTGACATCACGCTTTTTATTTGTCACGCTTATATTAAATTATTTTTTTGCGCATTGTTTGCACAGTTTTAGTACATTGTTTAAAGACAATTTTGCAATCTTACGCATGTCACATTTTATACACACTGTTAGGACGCTTTATTATTTCTCATTTATCACGCTTATATTACACCTTTTTATAGCACATTGTTTGTACAGTTTTAGCGATCACTCAACTGTTTAAGCACATTTTAGATATATCTCGCTTGTGTTGTGGTAAAACATTTATTTAAAAGATGAGGTAGATTACATCTTATGTATCGCTTCTCGGCAATCCCGGTCTTGGAGTTGACAGTTCCGGTATTTTTATTAATAAAATACATGACAGGAATGTAAAACCTGCATTGTGGGTATTTTTTTAAAAAAATTTGAAAAGAACCTTTTCATTAGGTTAGTATTAATATTATTATTAGGATATTTGGGCCCTATTTTATTTTTGCTTTTTATTAATTATATTACTACATGTGTTGAATTTTGTGAACTTCTTTTATTTGCGGATGATTTAAAGTTGTATAAAAAAGTATCTTCACTTTTGGATTACCAAATGCTCGAATCAGATCTTGATCGTATTGTTGACTGGTGTAATGACAATTTTCTTGAGTTACAATATAAGTAAATGTAAGGTAATTTCTTTTTCTGAAAGTACTCGTACTTGGAATTATAATTACTTTATTAATAATAATGAACTGGAAAGAGTCTCCACTATGACTGATTTAGGTGTACTGTTTGATACAAAGTTTACTTTTATCCAGCATATTGATAAAATTGTTAATAAGCTTATTATAACAAAACCACACATTCTCATAGCCTAGGCTATGAGAATGTGTGGTTTTGTTATTAGACAATGTCAAGATTTTACTATTCTTATTCTTTTTAATTCTTTGTCTCGTAGCATTTTAGAATACGCATCAGTTATATGGAGACCCTCACAACAGTGTTATATTAACTTGATTGAAAAACCTCAGAAAAAAATTGTGAAATTTTTGCTATTTAAACTTAATATTTCGGATGATATTAGTTATAATCATAAGTTATCCTTGCTAGGAATAAAATCGCTAGAAACACGGCGTATAAACTTTGATAAAATTTTTATGTTTAAGATATTTAATAATTTGATTAACTGTTCTGATAAATTGAAACTATTTTCTTTACGTGTACCTACCATCAATACTCGAAATAGTGCATTAATACATATTCCATTGTGTAAAACTAATTACAGGCAATTCAGTTGTGTGCCCAGATTGGCACGTAATCTGAATTCCTGTAATATCGATATTTTTAATATAAGCTTGTTTTCTTTTAAAAAGTACCTTATTAATAATAGTTAATTATATGTTTGTGTATTATATATATTTTTTCTTCTCTTTTTGTTTTGATATAAGTATTCTTACTGTATCTTTTTTTTGTACTACTTGGATTTTCTCTGCATGTACTAAATAAATAAATAAAATTTATTTATAATAATAATAAATTTAAAATACTTTAGAGGTCACCAAAAACAACAGAAGGTGGCAAGAAACAGTGTGCAAACAATGTGAAATATCAAAAGGAGTTCCCTTTAGAACATTGTCCAGTTTTGCACATTGTTTCATGTTCCATTTCCCACCCTCTGCACATTGTTCTCAAATAATTTTGGACACTTAATTTTCGCCAGGGTAACTTCGATAAAATAAACCGTTTCCGAGATATTCGAGATTACAATAATTGTTATATCGCATTATTTAAAAGGATTAAAAGGTATATGATAACAAATTTTATTTTTTAATTGAAAAAACAAAAAAGGGCATTCCATGAGCCTCGGAACTTTTTGCCCTGACCGTCACATTAAAAAAATTGTAGTTTTTTCAATTAAAAATTTGTTATCATATACCTTTTAGTCCTTTAATGCGATATAACAATTATTGTAATCTCGAATATCTCGGAAACGGTTTATTTTATCGAAGTTGAGAGGTACACCTTTTTAATAGTAGCCTAACTGAGTAATCGAAAAATTGCATCAAATGGTATAAAAACCCCTGTTTCTACGACACTGTGTTCACTCGAACAATTGTAATTATGTGTGAATATGTGTTTTGCTAGTAAGTGACTGTTCGAAAAATATCACCTTTCCAAGTCTACCATAGTAGAAGTTATATTAAAAAAACTGATATGATAAGTAACACTTTATTACCCTGTATCTTTTAAACATACGTAATTAGGAAAAATATTTATTTAGATTTTCGTCTTATTTTGACTTGCTTAATTTGCTCCTAAATTTATGCCACCAAGTTTAGGGACACCTTGTATACTAATTAGACAAACGGTTTAAGTAACCTAACATCACAACCTCTTGCGAGTGTATAAAAAAATAATCGTACATTTTTACCTTCAAACTTTGTTTTAGGCCATGGATATGATGAGAGGCCATCATATGTTGACAGATGTGATATTAGAAGTTGGTTGTGATATATTTCATGCGCATAAAGTGGTTTTGGCAGCAGCTAGTCCTTACTTTAAAGCAATGTTTACAGGAGGCTTAAAAGAATGTGATATGAACAAAGTAAAATTACAAGGAGTCTCGGCCACAGCTATGTCTAGGTTAATTAATTTTATGTATACAGGAAGGATACGAGTTACTGAAAATACAGTGTGCCAGTTATTACCAGCTGCCACCATGCTACAGGTAGGCGTTCTGTATTGTTGGTTGCATTGTGAAATTTTTGCATTAGTGCTACTTTTTTGAATAAAAAAATCATAAAAATCAATATAATTCTTAGACATTTGTTTTATTGCATCAGCAACAGCTGTCGACTATCTAAGTATAGTCGGCCCGTTATAATCATCGACAGCAGTACCGATAAGAACCACAGTTAAACAACTGGCTGACTTTACTTAGTCAATTTCTTACACGTTAAATAGGTCATGTTTGAACAAATCCAGTGATTGTCAACAAATTGCATAAGAATAACGTTAATTTTTTTTTAATTCAAAAACAGTAGCAATAATTTCAAATGTGATAAAGGAAAAACTTGCTTACTTTGTCGTGAACTATCATCCCCCAAATTCAAATCTCAAGTCACGTCAAATTTCTTGAATATGCACCTAACACCTTGTGTGAGTTTTCCAATGATCATGTCCTCCATGTATACAAATGGTTTCCAAAATAAGAGTGCGCTGTTATTATGTTTGTTTTTTGGTTTGTAGCGAAACGGGAACACGTAGTTTGTGCAATTTATTAGGTAGTTCAATTCTCCCTATTGAGTTCATATTCCTTATGTAAGCTCCATGCGAACTACTATACAGTTTTGTATTATTTAAAGGTTTACATACTTCTCTCAATTAATTCTCTTCCACAATCTGTTGCTATTTTCTTTGGAATTCCGTATCGCAACATATAGTTAATTACAAAAAATGCTTTTGCTACTTTGATAGCGCCTTTTGCTTGTAATGGATATGCTTTAACAATATTTGTTAAATGCACTGCAAAGTCAAAAAATAAGAAAAATTTTGAAAAGACAGTTTCTATTACATCTACAATATCTAAATAAAGTTTTTAAATGGTGCGCTGGCTGACGTGTCGCAAATTGAGCAAGCTAGGTGGACAAAAACATTTTATTCTACGATTTGTTTGTTCTGGTTAATATGAATAATATTTTTTATCGAATAATTACGCATTTTTTGATCATTTAGAAGCATGGAAAATATTTATAATAAAAAGTAAGAACGGAATAAAATGTATTTTAAAAATCGGTATTGTTATATAAGTTATCTTAACTTATAACACTATAATGCTAAGTTGGCGTTAATAAAGATTATTATTATTATATACTCAAGACTCCGCCATTCTTCAAATAACTCCATTTTTAATAGAGAGTACACACGATTGAAACAAAATTAAAAAAGATCGGGGATCGATGTGGTATTCATTTTACAGCTTGGAATTGTCGCTATACAATATTAAATAATAGCCTTGAATCAAGGCCCTTGATACATGTGAATACAAAAACTGTATACGTTGAAAAACTTAAAAGAAACATAAAGTAAAATCTTTCCCAACAAAAGTTTTGTGAAGGGACTACAATTTAATTTTACAATAATTGCTAAAGTAATATTTTAATTTAAATCATGTTAGATTTTATAAAAAGCGCTGCAAAATTACAACTAAATCCTATTTATGGAAACAAGTGTATCACCAGGTCCGAGACTTTTCTGCGGGAACACTTACCAACGCTCCTCTATACCCAGATATTTTATATTATCTACGTGTTTAAAATGTGTACAACATCACAGTGACGGACTAAGAGTCGGCGGTGAGGGCGGCTTGCCCCGGGCCCCCGACCAGAAGGCCCCCAAATATTAAGTAGTCTTTCTCAGTCCAATAAAAATATCTAACATTTTATGTATGTATAAATATTAATATTTCAGGACTCACTTTTACAATGAAATATAAACGGATTAAAAAAAATACCGCAGAAATTTAGAGTTTCCAAAGAATAACATGCTTTGAAAAAAAAACACAAAATATTAAGTCAAAACTAGAAAAGAATTTTAATATTTTGGTCTTGGAAGCCCATAGCAGAGCTGGCCAAGTACTGAGTACTTTTACTCGTATTTCAATTATGAGTAAAAAAGTACGAGTACTTTTTTACTCATAAGTATTTTTCATTTGAAATACTTATTACTCACCTGGAAAACAGGGAAAACCTGGAAATGTCAGGGAAATTAAATATTAGTAAAAAAGTCAGGGAAAAGTCAGGGAATTTGCTGAATTTTACGAAAAGTCAGGGAATTTAACTAATTTTTACGAAAAGTCAGGGAATTTAACTAATTTTTCTTGATTTTTCCGAAAATTGTTTCTATTTTTATTACCGGCCGAAGATTATTTTTTACAAATAATATAGCCGGGCATTGAAACTAAAATAAATCATTTGCGCGAATACTTATAAAATGTATGACCTTATAAACTAAGTTTGTTTCCTTTCAAATTTTTTATGAATGTTCTGTTTAATTTTTATTATATTTTAAGAAATGTTAAAAAAAATTGTAAAAAGAAAAATAAAATATATTCCCACCACGTGACCACCTACGGAACGCAGTCTTTTAAAAATTTGGCATTTAAGGCTTTTTAGGTTATGTATCTGTCAAAGTATAGTCAACGAAAGAAATAATATTATGTTTTGGCGTTAAAAATGTATAAATCTTTATAACATTAGAATAACAATGGATGGTTTAAGAATTTAAAAATATAAATACTGTATTTAATGAAATTGAAATGAAAGTGTATGGTGCCAAATATAAGTAATATTTTTGTGCATTTGGTCCAAATATCTGGTTTTCTCCATGAAATAATTTTAACTAAACAGCATTTATTTAAAAAAATCTAGCTTCTCTATTATGGAATAAGAATATCTGTATTAAAGGTAGGTTAATATATTATAACAAAAATATCATCTAATTTTGTAACTTTAAGGTTAGAAAAATTTATTTTGACCAAAATAAATAAGTATTTTGAATTATTTAAAAGACTGTATAATATGGTATTTAAAAATGTGGTAGTTTTTCTTATCCAGCTTAAAGTGTACCTACATAAAGTTTTGTCAATACAAATAGTTAAAAAGCTTCGACTGAATTTGATCTACATCAAAAAATCATTATAACTTTAAAAATTTTAATAAATCACAAAATTGTTTGTTTTCTTATAATCTACATAACTTAAAGTAGGTATGCCGAGAGGTATGCACAGTTTTGTCATTAGAAGTATAAGAGCTTCATTTTAATTTGAACCATATTCAACAATTATTTAGTATACCTATATTTATTTATGACCAAATTAACACACTCTTCCAAATAATTCACTTATTTATTTTGGTCAAAATAGATTTTTCTAACCTTAAAATACAAAATTAGATGAAATTTTTTGTTCTAATACATTAACCTACCTTTGATAGATTTTTTTTAATAAATTCTGTTTAGTTAAAACTATTTTATGGAGAAATGTAGACCCAATGCACAAAAATATCACTTATATTGCACCTTACACTTTGGAATTTCATTAAATGCAGTATTTATATTCGTAAATTCTTAAACCAACCATGTTATTGTGATACTATAAAGATTTATTAACTTTTAACGCTTAAACATAAGCGGTATCACTATAAATATGATTTCTTTCATTGACTATACTTTGACAGATACATAACCTGAAAAGCCTTAAATGCCAAATTTTTAAAAGACTGCGTTCCGTACTTGGTCACGTGGTGGGACTTTGAGGTGTGGAGCATAGTACCTATAATTATTGCTGGAAATTGATGAAAATTGGTCTGGAAAACCTGGAAAAGTCAGGGAATTTTGTTTCATTTTCTTGGTGGGAACCCTGTCATACTTAAAAACCAAATTCAATGTACTCGTAAAAAATACTCTTGGAATTCACGAGTAATATATACGAGTATTTCCGTTTATTATATCGATGACTTTTTGCCAAAATATCGTAAGCATCAAAACATTCTGTTTTAAATTATATAATATGTAGTATAACTTAATATATATTATAGCCTATAGGTTTTATAATTTTTTTTTATTTTAAGTGTCCCAAAAAGATTAAAAGTGTAGTTATGTATGTAGGGACTAATAAATACTTTTTTTCTACGTAAAAAATGGAAAATTGATCATTATACAGGGAAAAACAATAAGTTTATTTTTTCTCAATGGATCACCCTATATATGAATTTATTTTTCGATTCCTTGTTTCCTAATTTCCTAAATTCAACCGTTTCTGAAATATTAAAATTATTTTTAAGATAATAAGTTAAAATAGTTTGTCTTTCTCGGTCTGAGTACGCCATTTTTACTTAATTAACAAGACATATTGACCTAATATCACTATAGTCATTTATTTTCAATAAACATTTTGTTATTCTAAAGCTTCTTGATTTGTAAAATTTTTTTTGATGATCCCAGATAGCACAAAGTAGGGGTGTCAATCCCGAGCCCATTTTCCAATCCCGGGCCTTTCGGGACCAAAGGTAACTAATCCCGGGATCCCGGGATCAGTCCCGAAAAAATTTATATCATTAATTTTAAAACCAATTTAAAATAAATCAACAAACAAACTAACGAACGATATCTTTCGGACCACACTAGTCGGAAGAATGGTTTTCAAGAATTCGTAGGCACATTGTACCCACGTTTACCCCCATTAAAAAATAATTCCATTTTTTTTATCAATCGGGCCTTGGTGAGTTCCAATTGGGGCTGTAACTTACATTGAAATTATCAAGTTTGTGACATTTTTTCAGGTTTGACGTTTGAAATACGTTATATTATAGGTTATGTACATAAATTTATTCTACAGTGACCTGTAATTTTACATTTTCTTTGCTGATTTTATGCTATAGATGGAACCACTCTTGCTATGTAATTTCAATGTATTTTCATAATTGTACGGCGGTGTATAATAACTTGACTTGAACTGAGTAAAAAAAATGAACTGTTTATATATTGTATATTAGACTATTTATTTTTTAAAGTATATCGAAAATATGGTTTGGGGCGACAAAAAAAAATTATTGTGAAAGTTTGAGTCTATTATGATTAAGAGGTCTATCATCGCAATTTTAATTTTTTTTCCTCATCAAGTTTTTGTCTCAGAACTCCCAAACCATTGAGTTTAACAAAATTTACATG